TATGTTTATCAAATGTCCAATTAACGCCAGTTTCAATTCATTCGCTCGCTCTTTTTTTCACATTATGGTATCCTGCTGGTAGCAATTGAGACAGAACGCATCACCCTCCTCCCCGAGCTCGACGCAGCACCCGCTGCACAGTCGCTGGTCGCAGCCCGTGCAGTTCCTCGCACATATGTAGCACGCCTGCTTCGTGCATCCCGAACACCTCAGATACCCGTCCAAGTCGCTCTTCCGCTTCGGCGCCTTGTGGCAGATGTGGCAGGGTCGGAGGTCGATTGGTGGCGTTGTAGCGTACGCGTTGTTGTTGGCTGTGTTGTGCAGGTTTGGTTCTTGAGAGTGGGAATGGTCCACCTCGATGTCCATGAGGTGGGATGGTTGTTTGGTGAGGTGTATTCGTTTCCGGGCGTGGATCTGGCGTCTGGCTTGTTTTACTGGTCGCGTTTCCGTCCATCGGTGGTGGGTGTGCTTGGGTGATATCGTGAAGGCGGTCGATGAGCCGGCGTCGAGGCCCTGAAGGTGGACGGGATGGCTGAGAGGCGAATCGAAGGGAATCGATGAGTTTTGCCTGAAGCCGTGGTTCGATTCGGACAGCACGTAGTTGTGCATGTTGGGCCTCACGTCGTGGGACTTGGGACTCTGATCTCCGCCATCCCTATCCAGACGCCTCTTCCTTTTCCCAAGAGCTGTGTCGTACAAAGCCCCCTGTGTGTCGTTCCAATCGTGCGTTCTTCGTGATGTTGATGGCGAGGCATGATCGTGTTCTGGCCCAAACAGACTGGATGTTATGTACACCATTGCTGCGGCCTCCGAAGAACTCCAACGACGATACGACGACCAGGGGGGTGTTCTTCAAGTGAACGACAGGCAAAGCGGATCGTGGAACGAAAAGACGGTCGATAAGTTGTGGAGTTGGAGGCTGCGAAAAGGTGACGGCCGGTTGGTGGGGAGATTGGTCGATGGACAAGAGAAGTGATTGTTGTAGAGTGCCTCCAGGCATGAGTACCCTAGGCAAGGCAAGGCATGGGCATGCAGTCACCACAGGATGTTCATAGCTCACATGTCCATGTCGCCTTGGGTAACTAACACTTACACTGCACAAGTCTGATCCTGGATGTTGTCGTCTAACTCCTACAGGGTTAGCGCCTTCGTCCGAAATGGCAGGCGCCCTGTAGATCCTCGGTCCACTTCGCGACGCGACAGGCGGTCATTATCTCCATCTACTGTCTGAAGCTACATCGTTACGTTCGTTCCACTGGCTAGATACCGCTGCCTCCAGCAGAACCCAATCGTACATCCGCCGAGCCATTGGGTATCTGCGGAGCCATCTGCGGACTTGCGACCACGCTTGCGCTCACTCCCCTCTCGATTGGCGTCCTCGACTACATCGCATCTCCTTGCCGCTGTCCAAAATTTAAGCGTTGCAGCGACACCCCCCGTTACTCAGTATGGACAACTTGAACGTCGCCGAATTGGTGGAGCGTCTGGGTAGTGACGATGAGTCGGTGCGGAAAATGGCAGCTTTCAGACTGCAAGGTGCAATTGGCGATCCCTCATTCGCGGATGTCTTCATTCATGAAGGGGGTCTACCGAAACTCAGGTTCCTTGCATTGCATTCCACCGGCAATACACTCGCATATGGCCTCACCTCGTTATCGCGGCTCCTGGAGCTGGACAAAGGATGGGATCATGTCACGGACGATCTCATCACAAGAGTGAGTGGTGTGCGATGTCCTCCGCACAGGCACAGGATGCTAATACTGTAGGGAAGATTGTGGAACTTGTCGTCGCGCAACCTCTGGTCAATGTCAATCGAGGCGCAATGTCTGTTCTGGCAGCCATCGTGGGCAACCCGAGCCATCGAAGCTCACAGCCAGGCTGCACTGGCTTTCAACGCCTGAAGCCCGCTGTAGAACTCTACCCCCAATTCCTGCCCACTCTCGTCGAGAAAATTACATCTGCCGACCATGCTCTTTGCGCCAATTCCCTCCAGTTGATCAACTCACTGATGCGGGATGCCATCGCCAACGACGCTGAATTCGAATGGCCGAGATTCATCAAACAACTCCAGGAGCTGGGGGTGATAAAGAGTGTATACGGGCTCATGCAAAGCTCGGCGGTGCAGGACCTGGCCCACCCACTTTTGGAGTTTCAATCTCTGACCAAGGTGCTCTTACGGAAATGGAGAGAGGAACGGGTGGATCTCGAGAAGCCAGACCATCGCCGCGCTCTGCGTGGCCTGCATACTGCAAGCAGTCGCGATAAACCACCGGCCGGAAGCGACCCCAAGGGAAGCGTTAAACACCATCCCGAGAAATGGCGGCGACTAGGTTTTGATACAGAAACTCCCGCTTGGGAATTCGGTGCAACAGGATTCCTGGGCCTCATGGACCTCACGGATTTTGTCTACAAGAACGAAGATGGTTTCCAGAAACTGCTACTTGAACAATCTAGCGAGCCTGCGGAACAGCGCTGCCCTGTTGCAAAGGCAAGCCTGGCGATCACGTCAATTCTGTATGAGCATTTCGAGGTGGATAAGTCGGAAGAAGTAGACGTCAACAGGTACATCTCATTGGAGTCCCGTACGAACTTCGACCGAGCATTCAAGCCGCTGTTGCTGCATTGGTCCCGTCTGCACACAAGCGGGCTGAACGCCTTCATTCGATTGTGGAAAGTAGCTGGCGCGCATGCGGACGACTTTCAGAAGATAGAGGAGCTTGCTCGCATTCTGATGGAGCAGGTCGTCGGCCAGGCCCCGCGTACGAAAGAGATTAAGGAGGTGGAAGAGGAGCTCGTCGACTTTGATATCCAACGGCTCCGAGAGCTTCAGATGGAATTGCTTGAGCTCACATACGAGGACGCTTGGGGTCACCACCTGAGGTATATCACCGAGTCTAATGAACGATTCACAATCATGCTGACACATAGTAGACAAGTTCGTGACGAGCTGAATCACGAAGCCCTCCAGTTCGTTAAGGAGCAACGCATTCGGTGTCTCTTGCAGGGGGCTTGGTTCCCACAGACGATGAACTACAGCAGCGATCTAGGCCCGATAACTAGCAAAACCCTCGATCGAACCGTGCCGACGTCCTGGCGGTTTGTTCGTCTGTCACACAACCGCCGATACCTCCACTTTGCAGACTTCGAAGACAGGACTGAGGCGGAGCCGAGACTGGACACTCTGCAGGAGAAAGGTAGGCACGACCGGCCTAGATGCCTCCCCAGTGTATTATGAAGAGTAATTGGTAACTAACTGTGCCGTTATCTAGTTGATCTTTCGATTGTCTCCTCTGTCGTCAGCAATGTTTCAGCATCAGCCCCGTCAACATCATCTTCTGACAGCACGGTCACGACACGGCCTGGCCACGCATCTACGACAACCAAGATCACGATACATGGATACTTGCCGACGCCAGCGGACAGTCACGCGCGGCAAGCCTCGGAAGTGTCTGGGACGGGCAACGGGCGAGGCCAGAAGGAGGTGGTGCTGCTCCAACTGCACCCCCAGAGCCATGTGCTTGCGTCCGAGTGGCTGGACGGTCTTCTCATGCTGCTGAACCAGCAGCCCATCACCGCCGACACGAACAAGCTCGTGAACCTGATCGGCGGGTACGGACTGAAGATTCGACTGCTCAACGTGCGGTTCGAGGACGTGGGCATGGAGGAGCCGGTCCTGCCCAGCCGCGAGGGACTAGACGACGACTACTACTACGACATTGGGGGCATGGACAGTGGTGTCTGAGGAGGAGGAGGAACCGAGTACCTGGGCTGAAATCTTTCTTTCTTCGTTTCTTTCTCGAATAGGCAAAGCCGTGCCACGAGGCGGCGGCGGCGCAGATCTGACCGCGCCCGCGCCCGAGAGCTGGTACGCTCTGGTACCCTCCTGTCTCATTGCGGAGCAATGCCAATAACTACATACTTGAAGATGGGTGGTGGGTTTGGGGAAGTTGACCGGAGATTCCTCGCATACTCCAGCAGGAGGCGTCACACACACACTACGAACGAATGCCCGCCTTTGCAACGACTAACGAATTGATACCGGGAGAGGGGGTGGAGGGGCTGTGTGGGGATTTTCTTCGATAGGCGTTTTTCGGTGGAAGCAAGGGAGGGAAAGCGGGCGTAAAAAGCGAAGGGGGGGCAATTGTGCAGTAGTGTTTCGTCGTTTTCTATTCTGGATGACATTTTCGGATCTCAGGGCGTCTGGGGCCGATGTTTTTTTGATTGATTGAGCGGGAGCCCAGTACCCAGTATCCAGTACCCAGGAAGATTCCTACTTGTTGGGTCGCTTACCCCAGACGAGAGAGGGTGAGAGGAAGGAGAAGAGAAGAGAGGGAGGGGGACACTCATCAAACCGATAGGACGGCACGACGGGAGTACAGGACAATAGCGAGAGGCAATACGAGGCACATAGATAGACACCTTTCCACTCCGTCCCGTAGTCTATCTACCTACCTACGAGAAGGACGCGAGACACGCAATTACAATACCCAGTTTTCCCGCCGTCACACAAAACCCATGAAGAACGTATATGTATGCACATACCAGGTACTCGTACGTACGTACGTAGTTTAATGAATACCCAAGTAAGCGGAAACACATGGGCAGCTTATGTTGACTCTGTCGTGCATGATGGGGCGTTTTTTTGGCGATGGGTGACACGCGCGCGCGGTGGGTGCGTGGATTGGCGGCATAGGCATGGGGATTCTTTCTGTTTGGGGGAAGACGGCGGAGGGGCCGAAGGAGTGAGATGGATATGGAATACCTGGGAAATTATCGTAGATACTGTACGGGGTGCTGTTCAGCTATGTGGAGGGGAGGGGGGTTCGATGTATCAGCTCGGGGCTGGAAGAAATCAGGCGTATGGCGTAGGTAGATAGTTGGATATTCAGTCAGCACGGTGGTCGACGAGATAGTGATAGATGAAATAGGGATATAGACAGATACAAAGAGAAAAAAAGGAGGGAGGAAATAATAAGATATGGTTTTGATATGAATTATGATAGCAATAATGACGGTGTGGTGATGGTATCTAACCGTCTAGTTATGTTCTGCTTTCTGTTTGTCTGTCTGTGTATTTGACTTAAAAAAAGGAAAAATATCAACGGGGTACGGAGACTACAGGCACATGAACGTCACAAGAAGTGTATCGACAGTAAATGGATGAGGTTACGGAGTAGTATTCCAACCAACGACATGGAAGCAACGGCGGCAGCCACGACAGATAAGTATGTATGAAAGAAGGGGTCGTTGGCTTGATAGTATTGTATTTTGACCATCAGTTCGGTAAATCAGTCGCTCGATCGTTCCATCATTTCCAAATCGACTTTTCGAATTGAATTGACGAATTCGAAATCTAAGGTGATTAATCAAATGGGATGTGTACATCGTATACATACAAAGTGTGGAGTATGTGTATATATGTGTGTGTTTACTTAATGGCGCGTGTCGTTCGCGTGTGCGTTATATTTACATGTAAATATAAATATAAACATAAACATCTTAGTATGGCGAGCAGAGGTCGTGTAATCGTAGATCCATGTAATGCCATGCTTCGAATACCGTATCGTATCATACCATCATGCCATGCGATTACCGTACCATAGTTAAAGCAAAGAGTGTGTCGCTCACAGTGGGCCGTCCAGTCGGTCGGTCGGCAGGCACGGAGTACACTCTTCTGGTGTTATTAATATCGACGAACTCGTGGTGGGATGGAGATTGGGAGAAATCAGAACCTATGCGGATAATGGGTTGAGGAGGGGGAGGAGGGGTGGGTGGGCATATGCGGTTCCTGGACTAGTGTTGAAGTCTTGTCGCGCGCGCGTATTGAGTGTCCTATGGGGGCGCTGGGCCTGTCTTATGGCCGCCGTTTGCCAGGTCTGGGCGTTCAGGCACGATCGGGGGTCAAATTCTGAGCGGGATAAGTATTGTACGAGAATGATGGTCATAATGGCCGGGACTTTCAGGAAGGCAGTGTAAGACTGTAAGTGTTAGTGCGGACTAGATAGTAGTGCTCGGTTGAATGTCGATCCAATGTACTGTATGTGAAACAGTTGAGCGAGAAAAAGTTGTATGGATGAAATGGGTAGACTACTCGGTTAACGATAGAGAGATGAGAGACAGAGAGCGATCTACGGATGGCATATGGCAAATTGGTAGCTACTGAATGATGATGTTGAGGGTGGAAAGAGTTTGAAGAGTGGAGATGAGGAAATGCGGCACAGATGGTACAGCGTTGGTAGTCGCGTGGCACACGTTGGATTACGATGTGTTGTACAACCGCTTCCTGCAAGCATGTGGTCACGCTCTATGGATGGTTGGATGTATCATGCAATCTATGGGTGGATTGGTATGTATGTATGTACTCCGTACTTGCAGTCTCGAACTTGGAGGTTGGGTACAGTACATACAAGGTCAGCGAGTACGAATTACGAAGGTCTGTAGGGCAAGAGAAAGGAGGATTCTGTTTGAGAGTGCATCGTTGTAGTTACGCCAGCGCCACGAAGTGAACCCAAGCCACGAATGTCAGCAGGTGAGGAGACAAGGCGTCTCTTGTTGGATTGCGCTGAATGGAACGATGTAAAGAAAGAAGGATGGAAGGAATGACGGGAGGATTGTTGGGGTTGGATGGAGAAGTGTTGGAGACAGCACAGCGATGATGGGAAGTGGATTTGGACGGATTGTGGAAGATCGGAATGGCAATGGACTGAGGTTGAAGTGTCTCGGAGGAGGAACGCCAGGATTGGTGACGAGTTATACCCAATTGGGGTTAGGGTAGGGGCATGAGTGGATATGGCGTTGGATGGTTGGATGCATCTATGAAACACAAAACATGCAGATGGGGCACTTGGTGAGCTGTACGGCGTAGGTACGTACATGACAAGACAAGACAGAACAAGACAAGCCAACTAATACATACCTAGTTACCTAGAACTATAGGTGAGAAAAGAGATGGATCTGTGGAGCTGCCTCGTCGAGCGATCAATCATCAGTCCAACTCATCCTTGTTCTTTGTTCATGTCCATGTCCATGTCCACGCTCATGGTTTAGTACGAGTGGTTAGAGCAGCCTGTTCCTGTAGCACTTGTTGCTCCCATCCTGTACCTGTACCTGTACCTGGGTCCTGTGGTCGGTATGTTATGTATCCAACACATGATCAGACCGTAAGAGTGGCGCTCAAACATGCGTGCGTTCGGGCGTGCCAGCTGGCGAACATCCAGGCCAGGGTAGAGTAGGGTAGGGTAGGGCAAGGGGGCCGGATGATTATTATTGTTATTATTATTTGCAATAATTACAATCAATGAGGATGAAGTGGCAGTATTTCATCTGACGGATGATGAGCTGAGTGGAGGGAGAGAAAGGTTTATTGATTGAATTGATTGAATGAATTGAACGATTACTCCGTACACAGGACAGGTACCAGGTAGATGGGCCTTCCCTGGGGCAATTCACGCCCCCATGTCCCAGCTTTTGCGGCTGCTCGTGTGTACCCGGGTGTACTTAGGAACAAGTAGCTAGTTACCTACTCACTTGGTAGTTAGATACCTCTACCTAGGTATTACTCCGTAGTTATTTACGGACTAACTACCGTCCATTGTAATTTACCTTGTACTCTCTCTGTACACCGACAGTCTTTGTCTGTTTGTACATACGGAGTACATACATATGTACATACATATGTAGATGCATACATGCATATACATATACACACTAGCTAACACCACCTACATACACAGTAGAGGGACAGCATACAACAGACGCCGTTACCATTGTAGCTACACAGGCGTTATTAGTTATGAGTTGTTACATATTACTTATGATACATAGTGCGCACATCTTTGTCCACATTCATCTTCATCGGTTCTACGCCTTCCTGGCCCTGTCCTTCCTTCGTTAAGTCGCAGTTATACCCTGTCACCCTGTCTGTCTATCTTTGCCCTGCCCTGCCCTGCCCTGTCCTGCATATCATCCACCCCATCCATCCACCCACCCCATACCCATACAGTGGCATACACAATACACATAGTACATACACACACGATACACACGCACACGATACACAAACCCCTCTCTCTTCAATCCTCTCGCTTTCTCTTTTTCTCCTTATTCTTCTATTTCATCCCTACCCTTACTATACTATACCCTGCCCTGCCCTACCTTTTCCTCTTCTTTCCTTCTTTCTTTTCTTCTTCTGTACACCTTTCGCCTTCCTTTTCACTTCATTCACATTCATTTACACCCACCTGCAGTCACTTCTTGCCTCCAATCTAACCACTTGCCTCTGCATTCGACACGTTGGAGGGTGGTACTTCACGATGAAGGCCATGAAGGCCATAAGGGAGAGGAGGATGGAGAGGATGGAATGGAGCAGCAGGGAAAAGACAACGGTCGTATCCCTCTCGCATGCCGAGTTCGAGGCGCTGCCACTTAAAATCCAGTGAGTCGTGATGCAACTGCACCAAACGCTTTCTCATCACATCCACACCCGGCACATCACCACCACAATCACCACCACATGTTTCCACTTACTCCCGCTACTACACATTATCACACGCATCACACCTACACACAACACATAGGCTGTTGATCACTTTATCGCCATCGCCGTATCCGTCGTCGGCATGATACCTCCATCTCCCCCATCCCCCATTTTCCTAACCCCTTCCCGCCACCAGACCGTCCGTTTCTATGCATTGTACCTTGCAGCAGCAGCAGCAACTACTTCCAATTCATCCACTCCCCATTGCTAGTTATCCCTCCCTCGTTCTCGTTCTCGTTCAGTCTCGTTTGAGTCGTTCCTTTTTCTTGTCTTCCCCCTTCTTCCGATTCTTCCAATTCTTCCCCAGGCTCAATCCGTCATGGCGTCCATGCCGAACCCACACACCCACGTCCGCATGCCTGTCTCCCCCTGCCTAAACCGTTCCATGCCCATGCTCGTGGCCTTAGTCCTCGCCGACTTGCCATAGTTCATGCTCATGTTCATGCTCACTCACGACTCACGTTCTTATTCACGTTCATATTCACGCTCCCGTTCCTGCCAATGCTGACTCTTCCTCTCTTCTTCCCCTCGCTAGGTCAAAATACTTCTCTCCCCTCGAACGTCTGCGCATAGCAGAGTCGGCAGAGCAGCAGTTCCTTTTTGGTCCCACGCCGCTTCACCACCAATCCCACCGTCGTCGCGTTCGTCTCCACCACCGCCAGCGCCGCATTCTGCGCAGAGCTCCAGGCCCCCACCGTTGCTGCGATTTCGATTTCGATTTCAATTGCAATTGCGAATGCGGGCACTACACTGGCGTTTCACAGCAAGCATCCTCCCTCTATCGTGCGCTGCCTGCCAAGTTGCGCCGCCAGCACCTCTCCCGCGAAGAACAACTTTTATTGTTCGGGACCTACAGTTCGCCCTCGCAGCAGCGTGCGTTGAACACTTTCCAGTTCGACTTGCGCTCCCGTAGCAGTAGCGAAGAAGACCGTTCGCGGCGACCTTCCCGCTCTCCCAGTCCGCACGCGAACATCAACACCACCCAACCCTTTGGGAAAGAGGAAGCCAGGGAGCGACAGAAACACCAGCAGCAGAAACACCAGAATTTCCCCCGATCGGACGCCATGGCACCTCCTGTCTCGCACGCGGGGTCACCACCGCAGGCCCATTTCCGCCGGACGCTCTCCCTCTCCAGCATATCCCTGCCCTTCCGCCATTCGACCTCGTCCGCTCCCATTGTGGTGGATCAGTCCTCACCATTCGGCCATTCTCAAACTAGACTCCACCAGCGATCGGTTTCTCAAACACAATTACTGGGGCGGAGATCGTCCCACGCGGCGGCCGCGCCCGTCTTCGATCCGGAGGCTACCCACTATCGCGACCCAGAGGCTCGAAAGAAGCTCCGCATGTTCCTCGCCTCACCTCAAAAGTTCGACGAGGCTGTGGAGTTTGGATTTCCTGCGACCGCCGGGAACATAGTCCCACAGCCGAGCTATCAGCTACCGCCAATCGCCACAGATGCCCAACACTTCTCTCGCGACTTTCAGACGTTTCTCCGCGACGACAAGATGTCATTCCTAGATAATGAGGAGGACTCTGATCTCGGTGAGGATGAGGAAGGTCCCGGTATGGTTGCCAATGGCCGCAGCGATAGTCCTAAACGCACTACCGAGAATCATACACCAGACTCTGATGGCGATTCCTTGGAGGACTTCGATTCACCTATCACACCGTCGAGCATAGGCCCATCCTTTCGCGTCCATACTCGAGGATCACCCTCGCACTTCTCGTCTTTGGACTCCACCGACTTGAGCCCGATGCACTTAATGAATGGACGCATCAACCGGGAGATGACGCTCCGTATGACATTAACGCGGCCGGATTTGCGTGCCGACGAAGAGCAACTCTACGGTTGGAGGACACCGAGCGTTGCGAAGGACGACCCATACGCACTGGAGGAGTTGCATCTCACGGACGACATGACCGGTGCGAATGGCGCCTTTGCCGTCAAGCCCAAAGCGCAAGGAAACCTTGTTACGAGGTTGTTCAAGCGTGCCAGCAAGAGGGGAGGTCGATGAACTCTAAAGTTCGGTCCGAATCGGAAACCCTAAGGACAAACACACACAAACACAACGGAAACGAACTAGTTGCGACGACATGCAGGTACCGCCCCCCACCCTAACCTTTATGGATCCCACGATGGAACGAAACTATCATCTCTCATGCGACGACGAACCCTCGCACTATCACGATGTCATGCCGCGATGGTCTCACTATCCTTATCTATTGAAGTTCCAATCAGGCAGCCCAATTGCCTGGTCACGAAGAAAATTGTTTTTGCGCTTCAGCGGGCGTTCTAATTTTAATTCAAATCTCGATCTCGATCTAAATAAAAAGTCACCATTTCCTTTCCCCTCTATTCCTGTGCCATGGATGGAATAAGCCATGGCATGCCTGTATTATATATATATTTATTAACACTTTCCTAGAGTCATTGTTGCGGGTTCATCTACTACGGGTGTTTCCGCGTAGAGGAGGAAAGATGAACGATTAGTGTGTGGTGGCCCTCCAACTAGTTTACCTTTCAAACCTACATCTCTGACTTGTGGGGGCGGGTTTAACTTTGGAGAGTGTTGTGACGCGAGGATGTTTTTGAAAGCAAGATTGAACAGATCCGGTATGCAGCAGACAGACAGTAGAACTAGTCGCTGTTTGCAGCCACACATTTTTTGATACCCAAGGTCTATTGAACAAACAAAAAAAGATCAAAACGGAAATGAAAATGAGAATGATTCATGCTTTAGATTCCTCGCCTCTATCTAGCATTAAAAGCGTGATCAACAACTGTCAATATCGTACAAGGTATCTATTGAATTTGAATTTCAACGACCGGCAGCCCGCGTTACCCGCACCCAGGCAGGTACTTGCAATCCCAAACCCATACAAAGCAGCCATGTACCGTGTGAAGACCAGCCAGCCAGCCATCCCGCCATTCGTTATATTGTATCATACCGTCTATCGCGGGAGCATGAACTTGGCGGCCCTTTCAAGCCTGGCGCGGTCTAGCCTGACTAGTGTAGTGTAGTCGTGAGCAAACGATGTCAGTGACCGGGGGGGGCGCTCTTCCATGAAAGTAATTTATTGATTGATGTATCCTCTTGTCTCTTTGGCGCTCCCGTTTCTTTCCTGAGAGATTTGAGGTAAGGGGGAGGGGGGAGGGGGACAGGGCGGGGGTTGTTGGTCATGGAGGTGGTCATGCGGATCATCGTGCTTGCTGTGGTGATGGCTGCCCGTCATGTGTGAAAGTTGGGGGGGAGGGGGCCGGGTGGGGGACAATGGTCGTTATGTGATGGGTATCGATAGATAGGTCGTAGGTTGTCTTCGAGATGTGTAAGACGTTAGTGAGATGAGAGGAGAATAGAAAAGAACGAAGGCCTTGCTCAGAGTGGTTCCGTCGGTTCTATCTCCCCGTCTGCTCTACGCTTAGACACGGAGATGGAGACAGAGACGACAAGGCGATGCCATTGAGGGAGGGAGGGACGGAAGACGGGAGACGGGAGATCGCTTTCGGCTTTAGGTTGTTTTACGTGAGCGGATGGGTGGGTATGATTGATGGAGAGGGTTTCCTTGTCTTATGGAATGGGTCCAGGGGGAAGTGTGGTTCCGGTGAATGTGGAGGGCTGTGAAGTAGTAGGTTGAATGGTCGGTGGATAGGTGGGTACGGATGAGTAGTTTGTTGAAGGTCGTTCGGTATTGGAAATCCATCTACTTCGTACTTGTGTGGGGATAAGAGTGTCTGAGATTTTCACAAGGATTGAATGTTGATCATGGGTGGTGGGTATGTAGCTGGGAGGTGAATAGTAGGTAGTTAGTAACGGGTACCGGGTGTACTGTACCTGTATACATCACTTAAGTATTGTATCGTTAGTAAAGAAGGAAGAATCGGTTGCTTAGTCTTTCGTCATGCATTCAAAGTTTCCATCTACTGCTTGCTTTCTGCCCGGTATCTACGACGATTGCAAAAATACATTGGGGGTAGTCTTTCTTGAACACTTTTTGAGGAAACATGGCCCACCTTGAAATGAATGACTAGGTGGCACGCCTCTTTTACCGCGACAAAGCAATGTCGTCGATTCTCAGAATCATCTTGACCGTCTCCGCCGCGAGCTCGATCGCGCTCGTGCTGACAAGCAGAGGCTGGAGCACCTTCTCCTCGGAGATGTCGTTCTTCACACCACCGCTCTTGATGCTGATGCCCGCGTTCCTCTGGCCCTGGGCGTGTCGATGTCGCAGGTCTGTCACCACCTTGATGCTGTTGAGACCCGCGTTCTCTGCCAGCGTTGTGGGAATCACCTCGAGGGCATCCGCGAATGCCTTCCAGCAGATGGCCTCGGTGCCCGTCAGCTCGCGGGACAGCGTAGCCAGCTGGTGTGAGATCTCGATTTCAGGGGCGCCTCCTCCGGCGAGGAGAGCCTTCTTCTTGACGAGCGAGCGGATGGCGCAGTGTGCGTCGTGCAGGGAGCGCTCCGTCTCGTCGAGGATGAGCGAGTTGGCTCCGCGGCAGACGATGGAGACAGTCGAGGCGGCAGCCTTGACGCCAGAGACCTTGACGTAGCGGGCGCCCGACGATTGCACCTCTTCAACTAGGTCTGCGGTGCCGAGCTTGTCCTCGGTGAATGAATCAATGTCGGCAATGGGTTTGCATCCAGTGCTCTACAGTGTATTGGTTAGCTAGATTCTGAGATGGTGGATGCTGGCGTCTGTAGATACCTTGCAAATGAATTCAATCTCGTCCCGCTCAATGTCCTTGACGACGAGGATCTTGAGCTTGGAGAGGAAGTGCAAACTGAGGTCATTGACGGCGTCTCGGAGAATAGACTTCTGGATGAAAAGGACATTGCACTTCGCCTTCTGGATCTTCTTGACCATGGTCAAGAGATACGTACGCTCCTCCTTGAGGATCTTGTCCATTTGCCTGTAATCATTGACCATGATCTGATTCTCCATGTCCGGTTTGGGAGGGCTCAGCTGGAACTGGATCAATCCTATTCTCGCCTTCTCCTTAGTTGTGGGGCCGCCGGCACTCTTGACAACGGGCTGGTTGAGCACAAGACCGTCAATCATCTCGCTGTCTTCGATGGTTCCTCCCAACTTCTTGATCATCCTTATATTCTTCAAGTCGACGTTATCTGCTGTTTTGGGGTCGATGACCTTGAGCACCGAGTCTACGGCCATGGCGGGGAGCTTCGGTTCCTGGGCTACAATCTTCGATGACAGAGAAGTCACGGCTGTCTTCAAAAGTGTAGGCGTGTCCGTGAGAGAGATGGGGATTGACATGTCGGTGAGGATTTCGATAGCCTTGGCCGCCGCTCGCTGGAAAGACTCCGAGATGACAGTGGGGTGGATTCCTTTGGCCAACAACCGCTCAGCAGCTCCGAGGAGACTGCCTGCTATCACAACGACTGAAGTTGTGCCATCTCCTGCTTCGATATCTTGCGCATGGGCAAGGTCAACGAGCATCTTCGCGGAGGGGTGCATTACGCTCATTTGGTTCAGCATAGTGGCTCCGTCGTTGGTAATGAGAGTCTCTCCTTTGCCAGTTTGGATCTGCCGTGTGTCAGATCCTATCAATATGTATATATCATTATCCCACAAACCATCTTGTCCATTCCCTTAGGTCCCAAAGACTATGTCCAAGTTAGTATACCGAGATGTATTCGTGGTTATATGGTATTTACGGTTCGGATGGCATCAGCCACAGCTGTATTTTCAAGTAAGCTTCACATTCCAACCATATTGTAGACATTTGCCATACCTCTTGCAGCGACAATATTAGCTATCCTCACTGCCCGCGGCTTTTCCTTATCCTGTAGTCTTTATTAGCAAAAGGTCGAACCGCGAACTAATAGAATAAGGATTTCGTACTCTGAAGGCGGCATTTGAGCCGCCCCCGCCACTTCCACTTGCTACCTGGGCTGCCATGATGTATGAGTTCGAGTATATGAGGTGGTGTATATGGTCGGTGGGGGGCACTGAGCTTGCGCCTAAATTTCTTGAGCGCGAACGCACGCGTCGGAATAACCCCGGACGCCAAGCTCCGACCGACTTACTGATTACAACCACCTAACTACGACACCCGTCTCTAAGAGCTTCTACATACATCTACAAGCCGCCGAATCAGCCTCATCCATACGCAGACCCTCCTTTGAATTCCGACCTACGTAGTCCTTCCGAAATTCCGCACCCTCGCAGATCAAACTCGATACAACCTTCCACGAGCTCGCTCTCCAACCTCCACCATGCCCAGTGCCACCGGGTCGAGTTGGGAGAAATACCAGAAGAACTTCGCCGACGATGAGATAGAGGAGAAGAAGATAACTCCTCTCACTGATGAGTACGGTTTCGGAAGATATGGATTGATCCGGACGAGACTAAACATGCGTTAGGGACATTCAGGTGTTGAAGACATATGGCGCCGCGCCATATGCGGCAGAGCTGAAGAAGCTCGAGAAAGAGGTCAAAGATAAGCAACAGACTATAAATGAGAAGATTGGTATGTATGTTCAGCCTTGGACTCGAGAAATAAGCTAACAGCATTGCAGGCGTCAAGGTAAATCCAACTACGATGTCTCACTTGTACAACCCTAACGAAGTCTCAGGAATCGGACACTGGTCTTGCGCCACCTCATCTATGGGACATCGCTGCCGACAGACAACGCATGCAAGAAGAACAGCCACTTCAAGTTGCCCGATGCACAAAGATAATACAAGATGAAAAGGACACCGATAAGAGCAAATACGTCATTAATGTCAAACAAATCGCCAAGTTCGTCGTCAATTTGGGCGAGCGTGTGTCGCCCACGGATATTGAGGAGGGTATGCGAGTAGGGTTAGTATCAGTACCACCCGAATGAAGTTCTGAAGCTAAAGGAACAATAGTGTGGACAGGAATAAGTACCAGATCCTCCTTCCGCTACCGCCTAAGATCGATCCCTCAGTCACGATGATGACAGTCGAAGACAAGCCGGACGTAACTTACGGCGACGTCGGAGGTTGCAAGGAGCAGATTGAGAAACTACGAGAAGTCGTTGAAATGCCTCTGCTGTCACCGGAACGTTTCGTGAACCTCGGTATCGATCCTCCTAAAGGTGCCCTTCTCTACGGACCACCAGGAACCGGAAAGACCTTATGTGCTCGTGCAGTTGCCAACAGAACCGACGCAACATTCATCCGAGTCATCGGTTCCGAACTCGTCCAAAAGTACGTTGGTGAGGGTGCACGAATGGTGCGAGAGCTTTTCGAGATGGCGCGGACAAAGAAAGCATGCATCATTTTCTTCGACGAAGTGGATGCTATTGGCGGTGCTCGTTTCGATGACGGTGCAGGAGGCGACAACGAAGTTCAGCGAACTATGCTTGAGCTCATTACCCAACTCGACGGCTTCGACTCCCGTGGCAATATCAAAGTCATGTTTGCCACCAACAGACCGTCCACTCTTGATCCTGCACTCATGCGTCCCGGCCGTATCGACCGTAAGATCGAGTTCTCGCTGCCTGATATGGAGGGTCGCGCCAACATCCTCCGCATTCATGCCAAGAGTATGAGCGTCGAGCGGGACATCAGATGGGAACTGATTTCACGACTTTGTCCAAACAGTACCGGTGCTGAATTGAGGAGTGTTGCCACAGAAGCGGGAATGTTCGCTATACGCGGTTAGTTGAGCTTTTTACTGTCATGAAATATCATAACTGACAATTTTGCAGCGCGAAGAAAGGTTGCGACCGAGAAGGATTTCCTCGCTGCTGTGGACAAGGTTATCAAGGGTAACCTGAAGTTCAATTCTACTGCCACGTACATGCAATACAATTAGGGGAGCATCTTTGAGGGAACTCTTGATGGATGGTAGTGGTTTGCACCTAAGACAACTGTATAATTATTAGGGACGGCGCTCGCTATAGATAGCAAACGAAACCTACAGTTCTATCTTCCGACCATGAACGAATCAATAGAAATTCATAATCATAAGTCCAATAATTAACAATTTAGCTCACAACGTATTTAAAAATGAATTAATGTGTGAAGTTATAGCAGGTGATTCAGCTTACAACATATCTTAATACAAATTAATATATAAAATTATAGTAGGTAATTTAGCTTACAGCGTATCTAACACAGATTAAAACACAATCTTATAGTAGGTGATTTAGCTTACAGCGTATTTAAATCTTATATATAAATTGACAACAACCAACTTTTAACTTAGAACCTTGCGCGAAGCGCTTTCTTTTGTACTCTTCCGATTTTTCTATTTTCCTCTGTCGCCGTCGCCGTCGCGGTGCAAACTTAATACTTTTCAGCCGTGCACCCTGCCTCATGGTCCTCTGGTCATGCCTATACAATATTCTGCTCCATGTCTATCCAGTACCTATGTATTCCCCTATTCCTTTCTTCTTCTTCTTCTTCTTCTTCTTCTTCTTCTTCTTCTTCTTCTTCTTCTTCTTCTTCTTCTTCTTCTTCTTCTTCTTCTTCTTCTTC